GCGCAGACGTTGCAAAAAACATCTTCAGACACACAATTCACGCGATCAGTTTGACCATCGGTCTGCGGATGGCCCGCTGTTGACATAGTCAACTTGGTGTCTGGCACCCAGACGATTGTTGACCAAAACTTCCCAGTGAAGCGTGGGTCTCTATCAGAGACAATTGACTTCGGGAGTCCGTGTTGTCGAAAAACACGATCCAGAACGTGTCGCTGTACCCACACCTTCGATGGAGTCCGGCACTGACGAAGGATGGATCATCTTGCGCAAAAAGCCTACAAAGATCACCACACCCGTTTCGTCGCCGAGTCCTTTGGCAGGCCAAACACAAAGTACATACTCTTTGACTGCCAACACCCGGAGGTTACAGGTAAACTGGCCAGCGGCGCTGCCGCATTCGGAGAGGATTTCACCATCCGACATGTCTCACACGTAAGTACATTATTTGCTTATCCACTTATTCAGCTTGAGGCACCAATAGCAGCAACTCACCACGCTGTACGTCCTCTCACCACCAAGATGAACACAAAATGGGTTGTCTTGGGCTACATAGAAGATACGGTATTTCAAATTCTTATCGTGAGAAACAATTCGTGGCGTATCAGTTGAATTGGTGCTTTAATACAGCAATCCTTATTCAACGAATATCGGTGTAATCGTGCGCGCAAATGCGCCAACAATTTCTTGTCCGAGTTTCCAGACTCATTTCTCCCGAGAGCCTGATGCAGCGCTACACACTTACTATCACCCGCATATGCGGAACGGATCAAATCCGTGACTGATGACGTCACCGTCGTAATAATAGCAAGCTTATATCCCGGTTTACGTGCCAGCACATCAGCCAAATCATTCTTTTTTCCTGGCCCATACTTCAGCTCGAAATTATATTTCACGAGGAATGAGAGCCATCTGGCCATCTTGTGCTAGAGGTAAGGCGACTGAGTCGCAGTGCATAATGACGCATGATCTGTGTTCATCACAAATGGCTTTGAACCAAGCAGGTGCACCCTGAGCTTGACAAGTGCATTCTTCATTGCAAGTAATCTCTTGTCGTGAACTGTGTAGTTCCACTCCGCAGCCTCAAGCTGGCGAGATTCGAACGCGATCACGCGATTTTGCCCCTCGGCGTCTGCTTGCAGCAGTGCACAGCCTATGGTAAGTCCGAACCGTCACAGACGGTCGAGGTCAATCAACGCTAGTTTTGGAGTATGAAGGAGGATGTCTTTGACCCTGTCAAAAGCCTCCCGATGCTCGGTGCTCTGACAGATTTCTTATTTCTTTCAAGGAAACAATGGTCGTGCCAGTTTCGCATAATTTGCTCTTACTTGTGCAAGTAGTTGGCGAAGCCAAGCCACTTGCGCAAGTACTTTTGATTATTTGTAATCGGCCAGTCCACAGTGGCCTTGATCTTAGCGGGATCCTCTCGAAGGCCACAATTTCCAATGAAGCACCCTAAAACGAGATTTGTTACCACGCCGAAGATGCGCTTATCGTCATCAGCATACAGCTTATTCGTGCGCGTGCACTCAAGCACCGCTCTCAAATGAACGATGTGATTTTTCTCATCTGCCCCCCCGTGGCCCACACGACTGTGGACGAAGATGTCGAAGTTTGTTTGTGCATATGCCCGATGGGGCTTGATGAATTCCGTCACAAGACGATGAAATGTTGCCGGTGCATTTGACAGACCTTAGGGCATCATCAGCCACTCCCAGAGCATCCCGTTCGGCGTAATCACCGCTGTCAGTGGAATATCACTCGCTCTCAAAAGCAATAAGTAATAATCATCGACCAAGTCGAGTGCGCTGTACTTTGTACAGCCACCATATTATGTTCTGAAGAACACCCTTTCCAGGAAGTGGCTCCTGTGCCGGAATGGTGGCAGCGTTTAGCTTATTGTATGCGTGAACGATACGCCACTTGCCGTTCGGATTTCGGACACAAAATGTGGGTGGTGAATGGGGAGTCTTACTCCCAAGCAACATTCCTCTGTCGTGCTTCGCACGGAACAAGGCGTCAATAACGTCACACTGCTCTTTGAGCAGGTCCCAATGGAGTGCTATGAAATATTTGGTTCCCAGAATAAGGTCAATCTCATGTTACACACTTCGGTCCGGAGGTAGAAACGATGGTGGGTCTTTGAAGACGACATCTTGTAATTTCTTTACCAACGGATAGTTCCGAGGGATCCTTCAGGAAGGATGATCTACTTCGTGCGTTCAACATTCTCCTGGTGTACCCTAGGAGCTTCACCCAGAAGGGACGACGAATTAATCTCCTCGTTCGGTCGTATAATGACCAATCTGGCTAAATTGTCTGCCTTCAAGGCACCGCTAGACTCTCCGAATACAACTCGTCCAGCTCAAAACGAGCATACTCGAGGGTGACGTCACCGTATTTCTCCCCCCGTCATACCGCTGACAAGGGTATATAGCTGTGCGCTATCGTCTATGGAAGACACACCCTGGGTCAGGGTCGACGCGTTACGTCTTGCAGATACCATACGGCCTCACGTTTTCCTCTCTATAGCGGTTTTACGTCTCATCAAGACCAGTAGAAACACGCACTCGGCGTCGTCCAGTGTCCCAACTCCCTGCTCCATCGAAACCTGGATTTCATTAAAGATATCCGACAAAGTGCTGGTCTTTGTCCAGTGTATAACGTGCCACTCCACGCGCATCGAAAGGGCCTTGTCCAGAATGCCTTAGACCTCGTCCATCCATGCCAGTCTTGTCATGTAGCATTTGATTTTTTACATGAGTAGTGCTCAATATTTTACGTGCCACTTCACGTGCATCACTGGGGCCTCGCCCTCGACGCCTCGGCCTTTGGCCGACCATGCCACTCTTGGCATGCCGCAACTGCTCCGATACTTGAACAGCGCTCAGTGAATTATGTGCCCATCCATGTTCATCCCGCAAGCCTCGCATAGTACCCTGGTCGAAACACGTTTGGGGATGTGTGTGTTCGTCAACTCAGATACTCCGGATCCAGCACATTGACCGCCCCGGTCCAGTGCCCGCGCCAATAGCGCTACGGCTTCCTATCAAAAGTGGGTTCATGACTCACCAAAGCCCCACCAGTAGTGTACAAGGTCTTCGACCTCCAACCAATCCACGGCTCATGGTGTTCCAACCGTGCCATACGAACGATAAGGACATACCTTGCATATAAGTTTAAGACTAGACAGCGTTCCACACTATTAAACATAAGGATCTTGACACCGAGGATCACAGGGACCCTCGGCACAGTGACACAAGTTCTCGTCGTTAAGCAAACAGTGACGGTGTTACCCAACCGCGCTTCCACTGCCTCAGAACCCAGCTGACTTTCTTCGATCGTGGAGCGTCGAGCATAATTGCCCTACGCACCAGGTCGATAATTATTTTCCATGACTTATCAAAGCCCTTTACGGTTGCTTTTACGACCAGCAAGCACGGCTTGCACACACGTTCCGTGCTCAATAGGACGAAGCTCTTCGGGGCCGGGCCCTGTTGCCCTCTACCTCTCTCTAAGGCTCAACAGATTTCAGAGTAAAGCGCCCCGCGCCTGCTGGGTTATGTCGTTTCCCCGCAACTTGTTTGAAGCGGGGCGTCGAATTGATAAACTTTTATGCGCCTTTCGCAAGAGACAACCCGTCCGAAGGTGACGGGTGTCTCCACAAACATTCAGCTCATCCTGCGTACCCTTGGGCATATAGGAGTATTGTATCATCCTCAGAGAGGATTTGTCTAACGACTCAGGCGCTAATTGGCTGCAAGTGCTACCATTCGTAACGACTCAGGCGTAGATTGACTACGAGCGCTACCGAGTGCAGCGGGGTTGCCGTAGATCTTTGCTTAGAGGAAGCTAAGCTGAGGTCACCGATGTATACTAGAACCACTTTCCTACTAACAGCTCACTTCAGTCGGCTGCTTCCCATGTGTAAAATCAAGTTGTCTTGCTAAGCTTAAAAAAATAAAATTGTGCAATGATACCCGAACAGATATTAGGCTCATAACATTCTTACTAGGAGCGCCTCTTAGGCGATTAGGTTGGTTATATCAAAAGAACGTATGATTTGATTGAATTTAATCGAATCAACACAGAATACATACATTCTCGTACTCTCTTCTGTTAATGCTAATTTTTTTTATCTAACTGCGCTAACAGCACACGTTTCGACAAATGTATTCTTCTCATAGTTCCGTCATCTTCATAGATTTACATTTCGATATTCCACTACTGATGAATATTCACAATCATAGCAAGTGTAATGTGTAATTCGTACAACTGTACCGTATCGTATTTGTTAACAAGATTGCATTACTTGCTCCGTTATACTTCGTATTTGTGGCAAAAAGCGCGAAAATCGCAATAAACGAGTAAAATTCTATCATCAGAATTAGCCGCTAAATATTAAATAATGGTGTAAGCACGATT